AGGCAATTCTCCTGCCTCAGCCTCCTGAGTAGCTGGGATTACAGGCACACGCCACCATGCCCAGCTGAATTTTTGTATTTGTAGTAGAGACAGGGTTTCACCATGTTGACCAGGATGGTCTTGATCTCTTGACCTCGTGATTCACCCGCCTCGGCCTCCCAAAGTGCTGGGACTACAGGCTTGAGCCACCGCGCCCGGCCAGAGTATTTCTTCTTTTACGGTAATATAGTAACTGGCAAAAGTCAGGATGAGAAAATCTCTCATTGCAAATATTCCATATTGCCCAAATTGTACTCCCTCTCCACCTTCTGAAATCACTTCTACTAGAGACAGTATATCCCTCTTCCACAGAGCTGGTCACTCACTTGTATTCTTCATAGCTTTTCATGTTCAGCTTTTGAAGAATCAGCTGGGATAGGCCAGGAACATTATTATCCAAGGAGAAGAAGCCAAGTGTGTCAATGCTAGGGCCAGTGTTTAAGGGGGTCAGAGGCACAGGGGTCACAATTGTGGGTGGGGCCTTGATGCCAGGAGCCACTAATGAGGGAGGTTTCTTGTGCCTCCGTCGCTGGGACCGTGGAGCCATGGCCTGTCCAGTGATACCTGGAGACTATACACAGAACAGACATGGAATGGAATTTTACAAGCTGGATACGTGTGAAGTGTTTTCATATGCTTGACCTTACACTTCTCATTCCAGTCTCTCAGACCCAGGTTATCAGTAAAATTTATTCAGTATTTACTGGTTATGGATCACCATAGGCAGTTGTGAAAACAGGGAAGAAATAATTTTTTGTTGTTGCTGTTGTTTTTTGAGACAGAGTCTCACTCTGTTGCCCAGGTGGGAGTGCAGTGGCGTGATCTTGGCTCACTTCGTCTCCCGAGTTCAAGTGATGGTCCTGTCTCAGCCTCCCAATTAGATGGAACTACAGGCACGCGTGACCATGCCTGGCTAATATTTGTATTTTTTAGTAGCGATGGGGTTTCACCATGTTGGCCAGGATGGTCTCAAACTCCTGACCTCGTGATTTGCCTGCTTTGGCCTCCCAAAGTGCTGGGATTACAGGCTTGAGCTACTCTATCTGAATATAATTTATACATATTAAATCCTATACATAATATACATATGCATGTAAATACATAGAAAAAGATTTGGCAGGGTCCATAAAAAATTGGTAACAGTGATTAACTCTGAGTAGGGTAAGAAGGCAGTTAGACAGGAACTGGGCTGATTGAAGGGGACTTTAGACTTAATCTGTACTATTTGACTTTTTTATAAGGAGAAGACATTATAATATTTTTAGTATATTTTAAAACTCAATTTAAAAGAGGAAAAAGCAATAAAAGTTTTAGTTGTCCAAAGCAACCATCCAACTGGAGAGTTAGCCAATTTAATCTAGTCAGAGATAAAACATTTATTTTGAAAGACCTATTATCACATTTATAAGCAATAAGCCAAGAAGTAAAACTTAAATGCAATATAAAATGTGCACTAAGGGTTATGTAGTTGAGCAAGACAGAAAAAAAGTTTTGAGATGGAAGTAAGCCTACACCCACCCACTATCTGGCTGTGACTCTGTGCTGCCCTCCTTCCCCATTTCATCTTCTCCCATGCCTTTCGTAAGAGCTGAGTAAACACAAAGGACCATATGGGAAAAATTAAAATATCCATTTGTTTAATATATATTTACTTGGATGGAGAACGAGTGTGATGAAATGACAGAATCAGACTTCAGAAGGTGGGTAGTAAGAAACTTCTGTGAACTAAAAGAACATGTTCTAACCCAATGCAAAGAAACTAAGAACCTTGAAAAAAGATTTGATGAAATGCTAACGAGAATGGACAAAATATATATTTACTGATAAACAGATTAAATCATTTGCAAAACACTATCTATAGAAGCAAATATTAAAAATATATATCTCATCTAAATGTCTTGTACAGAGATTAGATGTAGTAGATAATATAAGGTACTCTATAAATCCTACCAGAGAAGTGCAACTAAAGCACTAACGGGAGATCAGAAGAAGAGAATCTGTTCAGTGGGTGAGAATTTCTTCAGTGGTTGGGAATCTCTTCAGTAGCCTTCTTCACGAAGCAGGTAACAGTTGGTATAGACCTTGAAAGATGGGAATATTTGAATACTTGGAAATAAAAAAAAAAGGAATTCTAAGAGGAGAGAATAAGCACAGAAATATGGACAGAAACATTCTGCAAATTAATGAAATAGAATGATTTGACTTTGAATGTTTAAGGTATAAAGACCTAAACTTAAGAAAGAAGTAAAACTATAAAAGTCTATTGGGGAAAGGTTCATGACAAAGGTTTGGCAATAATTTCTTGGCTATGATACCAAAAGCACAGGCAACACCGCCAAAACAGATAAATTAGACAGCAAAATTAAAAAATTTTGTACATCAGAAGATGCTATCAAGAGAGTGAAATGGCACTCCAAAGAATGGAAGAAAATATTTGCACACCATATATCTGATTGGGGTTAGTAACCAGAATATATGAAGAACTCCCACAAATCAAAAACAAAGAACAAACAAAAAACAATTACCAAACAACCCAACTAAAAAATTGGATAAAATATGTGAATAGACATTTTCCCAAAGAATATATGCAGATGGACAATAAACACAAGAAAATATGCTCAACAGTCATTAGGAAAATGCAAATTAGAATCACAGTGAATATTACTTCATACCTGCCATTATCAAAAAAAAAAACAGAAAATAACAAGTGTCGACGATATGGAGTAATTGGAACCCTTGTACACAGCAGGTGAGAATGTAAAATGGTGTCATCACTAAAGAAAACAATATGGCAGTTCCCCCCAAAATTAACATATTACTATATAACTTTGCAATTTCATTCTTAGGTATATGCCCAAAATATTTAAAAACAGATACTCAAACAAATGCTTATATATGAATGTTCATAGCACCTCTATTCACAACAGCTAAAAGGTAGAAACAACCCAAAGGTCCATCAATGGATAAATGGATAAACAAATTGGGATATAAGTATACATATGAAGATGTGTATTATTCAGTTATAAAAAGAAATAAGCTACTAATACATGCTACACTGTAGATGAACTTCAACAACATGCTAAGTAAAGAAAGTCAGACACAGAAGATTATATATATATATTGTATGATGCCATTTCTATGAAATATCCAGAATAGGTAAACCTAGAGACAGAAAGTAGATTGGTAGTTGCTAAGGGCTGGGTGGAAGGGAAAATGGACAGTAACTCCTTAATGGTAATGGGGTCTTCTTTTGGGGTGACAAAAATGTTTTGGAATAAGACAAAAATGGTGGTTGCATAATACTGTGAATATACTAAATGCCATTTAATTGCTCACTTTAAAATTATTAATTTTGGCCGGCTGCGGTGGCTCAGGCCTATAATCCTGGCACTTTAGGAGGCCAAGGTGGGTGGGTCACGAGATCAGAAGTTCAAGACCAGACTGGCCAACATGGTGAAACCCTGTCTCTACTAAAAAATACAAAAATTAGCTAAGCATGGTGGCTCGTGCCTATAATCCCATTTACTTGGGAGGCTGAGGGAGGAGAATTGCTTGAAGTGGGACCCAGAAGGTGGAGGTTGCAGTAAGCCAAGATCATGCTACTGCATTCCAGCCTGGGCTACAGAGCGAGACTCCATCTAAAAAAAAAAATTATTAATTTTATGTTATACGATTTTCACCTCAATTAAAAAAGGAAGGAAGGAAGGTATTCATAGAGACTGAGGGGCTAAACAGTTATTAATCCCCAGATTAACTGCCTTCAGGTACAGAGAAATGGAGGAGGATTAAAAACACTGGCAGTGGTTGGTTTTACTGTGAATGAGGTAACTATTTTATTTTTTTTCAGACAGTCTGTCACTCAGACTGGAGTGCAGTGGCGTGATCTCAGCTCACTGCAACCTCCACCTCCCGGGTTCAAGCAATTATCTTGCCTCAGCCTCCTGAGTAGCTGGGACTACAGGCACCTGCCAGCACACCTGCCTTAATTTTTTGTATTTGTAGTAGAGACGGGGTTTCACCGTGTTAGCCAGGATGGTCTCGATCTCCTGACCTCATGATCTGCCTGTCTCAGCTTCCCAAAGTGCTAGGATTACAGGCGTGAGCCACTGCGCCCGGTCGAATGAGGTAACTACTAAAGTTCAAACCAGGGATCATATTTTGTTACAAAAATGATCTGACATTTGATTCTTTTAGATCAGATCTGTTAGAAGAAACCTTTTCTGATTTCAGAATCATCATGCAGCTGAGGTGTATACAGGTGGCAAAAAGAAGCAAAATGCTCCCAGAATTATCCAGCTTATATCCATATCTTAGAACATGACTCTCAAAAACCCATCCTCAGGTTAATGGAGGAACAAATTTGTATTTTCCTTTGTAATTTCTTTGTCCTGGTCGTTACGTTCCCATCCACCCTCAATATCTCCCCTCATTCCATGGACGAATTAATGGATTGTTTAAGAGTCCACAGAACAGACAGCTAAGCTCATCTGTATATCATATCCTATATATTACCTCCAATGAAGAAGAAATGGGACCTAATGGTATTAGATTATTTTAGGGTTTAAGGGTCATGTCCTTTTACTAAAAGAGTACATGGAATACCCCTTCATACTTTAGGACCCCATTTCCAACAACTGACCTCATTCTGTCCTTCACTTTTAATCACGTCACATTCTCATTGCATTTTCAGAATCACTGCCATTCCAGAAAAAGCATTTATCCACTCTACTCACCTGCCTCAGGCAAGACATAACACTTTCTTAAATCTTGAAAGAATGGACTTTTTTTTATATATAGGTGTGGAAGGAAAGTGTGATCTGAGACAACTCTAGGGTCTTAAATCCCAGAATTTATGACAGATATCTCCCTGAAGTTAAAATACAAGCCTTTTTGCTGCAATGAAAGCAAGCCAATTAAGGTCAGAAAGGTACTGCTTTACTTATCTGCATTTCCCAGGAGAGGTCTTCCTCTAATGGAAGATTAGCTTTTGGCAATCTGGATGGTGGTTGAACTGGTCAGAAATGAAAAGGATAACAGTTTGGGGAAGAGGAGTGGTGGTAGTAAAATCCCTAATGTCACAGTCTACTCTGTGTCTAGAGCACAATGTTCATGATACAAATAAGTTAGCAGAAAAGTAAGAAGGTGGATGAGAAGCCAGGGCTTTGATCTGCATCTATATACATCATCAGGCTCATGTTTGAGTTTGTATACCCCAGGCCCAGACACAGCTTTCCTGGCTCTAATTTTCTTGCAAAGAGCCCCAGGCTCCTCACTTTTCAAGGGTTATAAACTGAGGGAAACTAAGAAAAAAAAAAACAGGGGACATAAGGAAGAAGTTGGAAATAACTGCAGTAAGCCCTTTTAACTTTCCAGAGTCCAGAATGTTCTCCACATAGAAAGCGAATCCCTTTCACTTTTTTCTGGCCATCCCCAGTGACTTAGGCTCTAATTTATTCCCAGCATGAGAGAGAGAACACCGACACCAAGAACTGGAAAGGAGACATGAACTTGATTGCTGAGAAAAACTTTTATCCTTCATCTCCAAATTACATGCCAAAATATTAATCTATTCCTAGACCTAGGTTTCCATCTTTTTCCTTACCACCAAGAACCCAAATCTTCACCTAAACTATAGTCACCTTTTCACTATCTCCAGACAAGGAGTGCTCATCTAATTTTCTTTAAGTCACCAAAAAATGCAAAACGTCAGCTGGGCGTGGTGGCTCATGCCTGTAATCCCAACACTTTGGGAGGCCAAGGCAGTTGGATCACCTGAGGTTGGGAGTTCAAGACCAGCCTGACCAACATGGAGAAACCCGTCTCTACTAAAAATACAAAAAAATTTAGCCAGGCATGGTGGTGCTTGCCTGTAATCTCAGCTACTCGGCAGGCTGAGGCAGGAGAATCGCTTGAACCCAGGAGGCGGAGGATGCAGTGAGCCAAGATCGCATGACTGCACTCCAGCCTGGGCAAGAAAAGTACAACTCTGCCGTCTCAAAAAAAAAGCAAAACGTCTTTGGGGAGGTAGGGAGAAGGGAGAGTGAAACTGGTCATTGAAGCTCCTTATAAGGGGGTAGGAATTAAGGACACTGTAATTGTTGCCACATTCAGCTGTTTAATCAGTGATTAACACTGCCTGAGGTGATAAATACTTTACTCAATTATAAACTAAGCAAGCAGACAGGTTGACGGGGGAAAAAAAAAACTTACCCTGCTAAGTCCTCGGCTTCCTTCCTTCTCTCTTTCCTTCAAGTGGAGTGAGTGCTTGACCTCTTCAGATCTAGGTTGTGACTTACTTGCAGCTGTCCCTTCATATCACTTTCCTTTGCAAACTGCTGAAATGCTGGGTGTCAATGATTAAGTGTGCCCTGCCAACCAGACCAGACAAGACTAAATTCTCCTAACGAGGCAAAGAGGGATCTCTCCCCCTGCCTAAGGCTTTTCTCTTTCTAACCCTTCTTCTCTGCCAAGAGGGCTTAGGACTGTCAACACTCCCAAGTGTTGGCAAGTAAAGGCCAGGCAGGCTGACGAAAAATGAAACCTACTGCTTCTTGGACTTCTCTCACTCAAGGCAATACTTCTGTTCTCAGTTTACAGCTTCAGAAAGAAACCCTTTGGATTAGTGCAGAAGTCAGTATTTGATTGGAAAGGGTAAGCACCTTTCCAACTAAGTAAGAGGAACCAGAGTATCAGGAGCCCTCTGGATTTCTGTATGTTGATCAAGACACAGATGAGTTCCCCCAGGCCCAGTGTCTTTTTTTTTTTTTCTTTTTTTTTTTTTTTTTTGTGAGGTGGGGTTTTAACTGTCACCCAGGCTGGAGTGCAGTCATGCGATCTCAGCTCACTGCATCCTCCGCCTCCCAGGTTCAAGCGATTCTCCTGCCTCAGCCTCCCGAGTAGGTGGGATTACAGGTACCTGCGACCATGCCCAACTAATTTTTTGTATTTTTAGTAGAGATGAAGTTTCACCATGTTGGCCAGGCTGGTCTTGAACTCCTGACTTCATGATCCGCCCGCCTTGGCCTCCCAAAGTGCTGGGATTACAGGCGTGAGCCACCACGCCTGGCCCCAGTGTCCTTTTTTAGCATAACAAACACTGTCCAAACAGAACTCAACAATGTCCAATCTAGAATTAAGTACACATATAATACCCAAGAAGGGAGAAAAGAAATGGCCATTTAATGGTACAGAATGAAATCACTACTAGGGAAAACATGCAGAATTAACTTGTAAAATTCACTTTCCCTGAAAGAAGGGTAAGGTAACTGACTCTCTGAATGAGAGTGTTATCAGGAGCACTCCACCTGTTTAAGAGAGGAATAAATGCTTCTGGGATATTAAACAAAACTAAAATATTGGTTAATGACTAAAAATACATACTATTTCTAGGAAAAGAACATAGAAAAGAATCAGCTCAATCATCCTCTTATCCCTCCTTGTAATCACAGCTGATCCAGGAAATTCAATTCCACATTCCTATAGCTTCTTTCTACTTAGAGATAACCTATCTGAAGTTGTTAGAGCAGTGGTCCTGAAAGACTGCAAGATCTGACTTTCTTACCCAAAATTTTTTAAAATTTTTAAATAAAGAAGTTCTGACTTTCTGCTTATCTGACCCCAGCTCTCACTTACCTGCTTCTGTAAACATCATCAAACTGGGGAACAGAATCACTTGCAATGAGGTCCCAGAATGTGGCAAACCAAATCCACACAGGAACCCCAAACTGTAGAAAGTACAAACTACAAGCAGGGAAGGTGGAAGAAAAGTGTTAAGGATTCAACAAAACATTGCATAACGTTATGTAGAATAGCTGTGGATAAAGGAAAACAGTTGCAACAGCCAAAAACCCTAAATAAAATAGGGGTAATTCACTTGGAGCAAAAGTTTCAGGCCAACTTCAAATTTAATGGGCCTCAAAATTTAGCTGAGAACCTCAAATGTTTTAAATTCTGTTAATAATCACTGAACTGCAGAAGGTACAAGACATTAACTTTTCTGACTCAGAAGTTGTCATTGAATATAAAATAATAATATAGAAAAAAATTGATGTTGAATACCTACATTTTACCATCACTATGACTTGCTCTGGTACATTTAAAGTTACAATTTAAAAAGTCTGAACTTGGCCAGGCGCAGTGGCTCACACCTGTAATCCCAGCACTTTGGGAGGCCAAGGCGGGTGGATCATGAGGTCAGGAGAATGAGACCAGCCAGGCCAACATGGTGAAACCCTGTCTCTACTAAAACTGTAAAAATTAGTCGGGCATGGTGGCAGGCGCCTGTAATCCCAGCTACTCGGGAGGCTGAGGCAGGAGAATCGTTTCAACCCGGGAGGTGGAGGCTTCAGTGAGCTGGGATCGCACCACTGCACTCTAGCCTGGGTGACAGAGTGAGACTCTGTCTCAAAGAAAAAAAAAGTCTGAACTTTTCACAATTTGTATTCATCATGAGTTGCATTTAAAAACTCTTAATAAAGGGTATGCTGTGAAATGAATTATGAAGAAAGACTAGAAAGCAGTTCCTATTTAACATGTAGGAAGTGGTCTGTGAGGCACTGTGTGATACTCTATCACTCTTCAGGTATATTGCTTTTCCTGAGTTTGGTTCCTTTCTCTTGTTTTCCTCTTAATTTTTACCATCAATCTATAATTTTTTTTGCTGATAATACTTAATGCTCACCCATGAGTCCCACAAACACTATATAATGCTAGTTATGCACCAAGGGCTAGGGAAGTTCCTGGCACCTGATATACTAAATGCTTATTTTTTCATTTTTCTATTGGGTCTATTTTAGCCAGATAAACTCTTTACTGAATAGCTTTCATTAAACAACATCAACAGCAATCTTTAAGGCATGCAATGCATAATAACTTTAGAGCAAATTAATGGGCTGCACTGTAAGTTAATATTATGGCTAGTAGAAAGCTGTAATAATTAACAATTTGAGAAGTTCTGTTTGTTACCTGGAATTAGGCAAGCATGTGCGTGCGTGTGTGTGTGTGTGTGTGTGTGTGTGTGTGTGTGTATTTTTTTTTTTTTTAAAGGGATAGGGTCTTGCTCTGTTGCCCAGGTTGTAGTGCAGTGGCACAATCATAGCTCAATGCAGCCTATCACCATGAACTCCTGGGCTCAGGCGATCCTCTTGAGCCTCCCAAAGTGTTTGGATTACAGGCATGAACCACTGTGCCCCACCTAAATTTTGACCTAACGTTTTATAATATATTTCATTTTAATTATTGAGAACTATAATTCAAGTTATTATATGATTATATTATACAATTTTGAGCAATATCCTAATATCCTTCAATGTGCAAAATCCTATACTTATTTTGATTATGACAAAGAAGAAAGGAATAGGATAGAAATATGCAATTATCACTAATATTTTTTCTTGTTAGAACATCCAGTAAATTCCCAATGCCACTGTGACAAAATTCTAGACAATAACATATTTTCTTTTAATTAAAATAAACAGTGATCTTAAATATTAGATTAAGTGGCCTAAACTAGGGAAAGTCCTCTAGTGCTCAGTTACTAATGCTCTTATAAAACAAGCATATAGCAAGCATCTTTTTAAAGGCAAAATTTATAAAGAATTTAATGAAATCGCCATGAACTATCCATGAGATAATCTCCGGAGGATATCCCAGCTCTAGTAACAGGATTTTCTGATTTGGATCAAAGGGCCAAATCAGAGTGCATCTTCTAAATAAAACCCAACACAGAGATAGGAGCAGCGGCCCATGCATGGAATTTATTGTGTGCTACTGTTTATAAAATACTCGAATAGTCCTGCACATGCATAATATTTCCAACTTAGACAGGAGACCATACAGGGTGCACTTTCTGGCAAACAAAACAATAAATGGTTCCGCTGCCTGGAGCTCTGAGTTGTATTCCAGGGCATGAGGGAAGCAGGCCACCAAAGTAAAGGGAAATACCAAACTACAGTGGCAATCAATACAGGTCAATAATTGTGAAAAATTAGCACATGGTTCCATTTAGTTTAACCAAGCAGTTCAGTTAACTATCAAAAGAAAAGTTTCAACATGCAGTCTTGACTTTTATGCTTCCACTAACATCTGAATGATTGAACAGAACCATTGCTTCTAGGCTGCATTGCTTAATCAAAAACACTTCCAGAACATTTTAAAATTTCCTTTGCATTAAAACATAAAAATGATAGAAAGCCAGCAGCAAATCACCCTGGTGGCTATTTAAGCAACTTGAGTACTCACAATAAACTAAAATTTCTCATAACATCTAGGTAACCTATACATGTCGTACCTGTACATCATAGGTCTATATATTAAATATTTGCAAAATGAAAACATGCATACACAAAATACGTCAAGTTTTACAGACATGATTTGAATTAAAATTTACTTTGACAATGTACAAACTTCTTTTAAAGTACCTTAAATGAGTAATTCTGTAATTCTTCATAATTTTGAAATTTAGAGGTTTTCTTCTTAAATCTCTGGGTGTAAATCTTAAAAGATATGGGCAAAAAAGATTCTAAATTAGTTTTTGGATTTGTGTTCAAGTAAAAGAGCCTGCCTAGAAATAGGATATGCATTCATAATTAAAAAATACCAAGACTATGTTACAGAATTAGCCACATTTAAGAACTATAGACCTGAGGTCAACATTTTGTATAAATGCCAACTGGGTTTCTCAGCATTTTGCTCACAATTCAAAATACAGCTAGTAACCTCAGAAATGTATTTTAAGACCATGCTAATTCATCCTTTAAAGACATTTCATGGAAAAAGAAAAGTCCACTTTAGCTCTTATGATTGCATTTGAAGTCATGGTTGAAAAACAAAATCTAATTCTACTGAAGGGGAAAAGAAATCTGATTTGTAAACTTAAATGTGTGAACCACAAGCATAAATGGAGGTGTGGATGCCCTCCACTGGAAATTGCCCCAAGCCCCTTGCTCACTGCTCTCCACCTTGGCAGCGATGACCCAATCTTATCAGAAAGCACATGTCCCAGGGCCCTCAAGCCTCCATCCAGGAAGGAAGCTGGGGTCTCAGAAGCACAATGGTTTCTTCAGAGGGACTGTGACATTTACAGTCAGCTGGGCCGACCCCTCCAGCTCCTCGGGTGATCTGTCCATTTGGGGCCCGAGATGTGAGAGTCCCTGGGAAGTCGTGGGTCACTGGGCAGTATGGTTGCCCGTCCCGTGGTTCTCAGTGGCATGTGCGGTGTTCAGAGAATTGAAACCATCTTGCTGTACAGCATCTTTCCGAGGTGGCATTCTCTCATTGATCCTATCCAAACCCTTTGCCTCTTCAAAACTGCAGATTCTATGTGGTGGAGAGAATCCTCGTATTGCTTAACAAAATGCAAATTTGATAAGTCAGTAATTGAAAAACATTTCTGAGATTTCAAAAACATAATTAATGATTTTTAAGAAGAAAGAAATTAGTAGCTGTAAGTAGCAACACTTAAATCTTACTTTAACTGAATCCTATCCTCATTTCAGTTTTCCCCTTAAAATGTGAAATGTTTAAATCTAACTGTAAACATGATAGCTTCATAGATGACAAGTGTTAGCAAAGCCTTTCAAAAAAATTAAAAAACAAAAAATTTTAACCCTTTCCTGCCCCCAAAATCAACCTCCAGGAAATGATCTAGGTCTGACTTCTACTATACCAATTATCTCCTTTATCAGTCCCTAAGATCACCAGTGACTATCACAGTAAGGCAGCAACGAGAGTAGGGGCAAGTGAGGAGGCTAAACAAGGTTAATCCT